AAAGTAGCTTAAAATCATGTGTTCACCACATGATCTTGATAATGTGTAACCCCCTTAATGAGTCTCATTTGAGATTCAGATTCAAATACTAGTTTTAATCCCAGAGAGTATATATACAAAGTTTTGTTTAAGTTTCACAATTTTACAAGAAGTTTTATTTGTTCAAACCTTAAAATTGTGGTAGTGTGATTTTTTTGCCATATGATGTACTGTGTAACGAACTCTACCCTTAACGTTGATTGGCTAAATTCAATATGTAACACAAACCCCGCACTCAATTTCCAACACTGCACCGAATGATATTTTCTGCATAAATTGAATAAAATTTTTTTTTAATGTAAATACTATTTTATCCAACATTACACTATCACAAACATTCTTTCTATTATAATAATATATCAAGTAATACGAATACCCAACTGTGTCATTATTAACTAAAAAATATTTATGCATTGCAGAAACTTTACTCCAAATGAACGTCTACAGTCAAACCCTGTCACAGTGGACTATAGTTATAACGGATTTTTAAAATTTTTGCTTCACATATAAAAATCCATTGTGGCAAGATCAGTAATCTTGCCACAACAGATTTTAAATGAAATTTTCTTATGTGTCCCATTCATCTGCTGTGACAAGGTTTGAGTGTATTTGGTGAAGCTGGAAACATAATGACAGCTAAACGAACAAAATTGAATCCATTGTTATTTGAAAAAATTGTATTTTTAAAAAAATATGCAATGTATTGAAATATTTTTTCCTGACAAATAAATAATTGTTATATTTTTTTGTAATAAATTTATTGTTATATTTTTTAAATAAATTTAAAATCAATGAATATTCAATGGATATTCAGTGAATGACTGATTATTCGGGTGTTAAATTTATCGACTGACTGATTATCTATGTGTTGGGCTTTATTGATTGACCAAGTACTCAAATGCTCAGATACAACCACTTTTCTACTGATTTAGTTGAGTTGTATTCTTTTGTTAAATCAAAAGATTGTAGATAGTTTACGTATTTATCTGAAGTATAAGAAAATCCTCATCAATTACCTCACCGTTAAATAATAACATTCATGAATTCAAAAATGCAATTTTTTTTTTTAATCCACCTTCTTTTGTTCAAAATAAATCTGGAAAACTTTACCAAGTGCCTTTTCCAAAAATCTTTCTCTACTATATACATATTTAAAGACTGGAGATATGGAGCGAGCAGAAATAATACTAAATAGATTACATAATTCTGGACCAAAGGATATAAAGCATTACTCGGACATAAATGCAAAGTTGTATACCTTATTATGTGTAAAACGTACTGAATCTAATCATTATTTATCATTACTCATTGAAATATGTTTATACTTGTACCTTTGATATTTTGGTTTATATATTTTTTATTGCCTGCTCATCACATTAGATATGTTAGGAACCTACATTATTTCGAAAAAAATTTATTTAAATATGATAGATAAATGAACAACTCTACACCTTCAGATCCAATTATTAATTGACTTCACATAATTATATGAAGAAATTATATCTATGCAAACAAATTGATGGTTATTATAATATCTAATACCTTTAAATTGTATTTTCTATTTTTTTGTAATAAAAGTCCTTTTATTTAATTTTTCATTTTTGGAATATTCGCTCAACTCTTTATATAGTACATTTCCTAATGTAATGAATGCCATCCAAAACTTATTGACCAACACTCTCATAAAATAATAATAACCATATGAAAGATTAGTGTATTTTACACTTATTTAACCACTTATAAAGCAACATGGGAGACATAAAGCATTCTTCTGAACATAAGAAAATATTCCTTGAAGCTTTAATGGTAGAGTTTTATTTTATTTTTAGTAGTGAGGTTCAAGTTTATTATGAACAAATGAATAATAAATACAATCATCATTATTAACACAATTATTATTATCGTCGTCTCATATTTATCATCTCATTCAAATACTAAATGATTTCATTAAGTCCTTCCGTCTCCAAGTATAGAAAATAACAATTGGGTTTAGTGTAACGTCGTTGAATTGGTTTAAAGTTTATAATTTATTTATTTCCAAAATTGGTATCACAATATTCTTGTGTAATTATCGTTACCAATCATTCTATTAATTTGTTTCCAAACGTTTTTTTTTTACATATTTCATGTCAAAAAAATTATACAAATAATATACAACATGCTAAAAATAATAATATTAATTAATGTAAATATTTTTATTTTTATTTATAAAAATTGTTTTCCTTTCTTTCTCTTATTATTATTTATATTATATTAATTATATTGATTGATAAAGGAAAAAAATAAAAAAATCAAACATTCATTTTTTTTCGATTTCTCTTACTTCACCTTTTCATCCTTGTTTTCGCTCTCCTATTTCCCCTCCTCTCTTGTCTCCTAAAAATACTAATCAGCTTCCACCTTATACGCACACACGCACGCGCACATTAATTAGATTGATTAAAGGAAAATTATATTAAAAGGGAAGGAATTTTTTATTAATGATATAGATAATTCAATACACAACATTTCGCCTAAAAATCGCAATTTTTTTCCTTGATTCCTTCCACTCCTAATACACACAAAATTTTTGTGAAAATAAAAAAAAAAACGATGATTCTTTTAATAATATTATTATTTGTAACGACTCTGGAAATCCCACGAGCAATTAGTGAAAAAATTTCAATTCGTATGTTTATATACTAAAATTTTCATTTATTCGTCCAGTTTTCCACAATAATAACAATAATCATAATAATTTAAATATTAGATCAAAACAATACGAGGAGGTCGCCACAAAAGCCTCCAACACCTCCAGCACCCCCAACACCTCCAGCACCGCCAGTTGCACCAGTTGCACCGGTTGCGCCGGTTGCTCCGATTGCTCCTAAAGGACCTAACGATCCAGGAGTTCCGGGAAAGCCGGGAATTCCGGGAAAACGTAAAAAATCTCGTTCTTTATTTATTTATATGCCAACATATTGAAGACCTGATTTCGTGAATTAATTTAAAATTTTTCTTATACAGCCGGTAAGACAGGAGGTACAAACACGGATCCACCTCCAAAAGATAATACCGAACAGCCAGAACCATCTTCAACAGAGGATAATCCAGCAAATCAAACGCAACAACCACAACCGCCATCATCGTCGCCACTACCACAAGATAATACTACACTAAAACAACAACAGTCATCATCATCATCACCAATATTAACTTCCATTTTATCGCAAACAAATAGCATTGGTAAGTGGTAGTTTACATCATATTATTAATGATTTAATGTTAATTTTAATAACAATATTCTTTTATTATTATGAATAGATTCAACTGAACCAACTTTACCATTGGTAAATAATAATAATAATAATAACAATAATAATAGTTCACCAAATAATAATAACAATACATCAACAATTGTTGCAATTTCATTAAGTTCTTTAATATTAATATTAATAATTACGGGTTTATTAATATTTATTAAAAAACGTAAAGCAAATAATATTAGAAATGGAAATAATAGAGATACATCAAATAGTAATACATTATATAGTGAAGAAGGAGATGATGATAAAGTGGATTATGATGATGGTGGTGGTGATGATGGTGATGATGATGATTCATTTGGTAAAAAACTTACTCAAAATGGAACAGAATTTCTAAATCGACAACAGCAGCAGAAACAACAATTAGAAGATGAAGAAGTGTCTGATGGAATAATGGTTACTAAAATACATTCCGTAAGTATACATCATGAAGATTTTACATTAGATGACTTTGACGATAATGGAATCGCTGCTAGCTTTAAAAGTGCTGGAACTGGAACAAACGAATCCGACGATACTAATAATGAAAATGGTGGATATCTTGATGGTGAAGCTAAAAGTAGAATAATGAGAGAACGATTAACCACAAGTATAACAAGTAGTGTATCCACTCTGAGTAATAATAACGATAAAACTAATAGAAATAGCTTTAATAGTACGATAAGTAATTTAACGATTAAAGAAGAATTAAGAAAAGCAAACGTTAAATTTTATATATGAAGTGGAAAAAAAAGCGAGCAATTAAAATGTTTATTTATTTATTATTCGTTCATTATTCGATGTGTTATCTCTCAAATATATATATAAAATAAATAAACAATAATCTAATTACCACAAAAAAACAAATGTTTTTAACTAATAATAACTAATAATATACTTTGGAAAGTTGTAGCACACCTTTAAAAGTTCCAAATTCACATATACTGACTGTACTAAGGATACTTGTCTATAATCATCGTCAAAAGTTGTGGCCAGTATCCTTATTGACATTTCATGTTGTTAATTCGAGATATGCAATTATATATAGAGGTACTTATAGAATTGGTATTAGAATGTCAACTAACTTTCTTTCCTTGTTACGGGAATGGATTAAACTATCAAATAACTTTGAGACACATTCAACCATTTTTAACAACGGGAATTGAAACAAATCCAGGTTTTTTAATAATATTATAATCAAGTAACTTTGACAGAAATTCAAGCGTCTTTATGTATGTTAAATAACAACTAAATTGTAAAGACAATTATTCTATCATTGTAATAATGTTGGAGGTTAGACATTAAATCTCATTTGAAAGTGCTCATACTTTCTTTTTTTTTTTTTTTTCATTGACTAATAAATTTTGTTTATAGTTCTGCTAAAATTGTATAGTTCTAAACGGCAAATCAAATAATGATAATAATAAGGATTACGTTAAAGTAAAAATACTAAAAAGAACTTTTTTTTTTATTATTAAGAGAAAATTTCGTTTAAAATCCGTTATTATTATTGTTATTATTATTATTATTATTATTATTATCATCATCATCATTATTACTAATTAATATGTTTTTATATGTGAAGCAAAAAAATTTTATAACACGAAATCGGCTGTGACAAGGTTTGACTTGAGCTAAGCAAAAAATTGTTTTTCTCAGCCCCAAAATTTTTTAGTAGTAGTAGTAGTAGTAAGTAGTATTTCTTTCAATTTTTATCTTTTTTGTTTTAAAAAAAAAAAATGTCCTCAGAAAAAATTCGTAAAAGACCAGTAGTCAACAAAGAAATAAAACATAAAGATGAATTTATAAAAATTTTTGATGATAAAAAAATAAAAAGTAAAAAAAACAAGGCAAATAAATAAATTCTTTTATAATTATTATATTTTTTTTATTCTATAAATAAACAAATTTTTAAAAATAAAATTTTTTAATAAGGAACTAATTGATATAAAAAAGTACTTTAAAAATCCAAAAGCTTTATCATTAATCATTCCATCAATACTCACATTATTGTCATTTATTACAAGATTTTATAAAATTTATCATCCAAATAATGTTGTGTAAGTAAAAAAAAAAAAAATAATAATAATAATAATAATAATAATAATAATAATAGATAGATCAAAAATTAATTAATACATACATCTGATGTTTAATTATTTAGATTTGATGAGGTTCATTTTGGTAAATTCGCAAGTTATTATCTTCGTAGAACTTATTATTTTGATGTTCACCCACCTCTTGGAAAATTAATGATCGCTGGAATGGCTTATCTATTGAATTATGATGGTCATTTTTTATTTGATCATATTGGTGATGATTATTTAGAAAATAATGTGCCTTATATTGGACTAAGAGCGCTGACTGCTACATTTGGAGCTTTTTATGTTCCTTTAGTTTATTTCATAATGATGGAATCTGGTTATAATATATTTACTGCAATACTAGCAGCTGTGCTAATTCTTTTTGGTAAGCATAGCTAAATATATGTGTGTATGGTGCATATGTGCACACGCGATGTGGGTGTGTTAATTAATAATTCTTCTCATTCAGATAATCTATTGATTTGTCAAACACGCTTGATTCTTCTTGATTCGATGTTGTCATTTTTCATGTTGTGTACATTTTATTCCTATATTAAATTTTATAAATACCGATACAGGTAAATTCTGATGAAACAATAATAATGATATTAATATTATTAGATATTCACAATGTCGTAAGTTTTTTGTCTAAAATAAATTAATATTCTTTTATTTAGAGAATTTTGTAATGAATGGTGGTTTTGGTTAATTACAACTGGTATTTCTCTGGGATCAATGTCAAGGTAAACTGTTTTTTATTTAAAAAAAGTTAATTCTTACAATAAAAACATCAATTATTTTTTATTTAATTTGTTTTTTTTTTTAATATTCATATATACAAATGCGCAAACATATATCAGTGTAAAGATGGTTGGTTTATTTACATTCATTACAATTGGTATTATGGTAATAATTGATTTATGGAGGTTATGGGATATCAAAACTGGTTTATCATTAGTAAGAATCTATTTATTTATTTATTATTTGAAAAAATAATATATTTTAACAATATATTTCTTCTTTTGCCTAAAATGATAATAATCAAAAGAAACGGTTTAATAAACATTTTCTGGGTCGTATATTTGGGTTAATAATTGTTCCTATTTGTGTTTATTTATTTTGGTTTTATATTCATTTTGCAATACTAAATACCACCGGTCCTGGTGATAAACACATGAGCCCAGAATTTCAACAAACGCTACATGGCAACATATTATTAAAGGAAAGCCAGCCAATATATTACAATGATACTATTGTTTTAAAGCATAAAGACACAAAAGTTTTTCTACACTCGCATATTCATCATTATCCAAGAAAATATGATAATGGACGTGTGAGTAGTGCAGGTCAACAAGTAACAGCATATCGCTATCAAGATAAAAATAATCATTGGAGGATCTTACAACCACCACTGTCATTGTTACACCATTTCTCATTGTCATCATTCAATAATAATAATTCTTCATCACCACTATCATCAAATAATTGTTTGATTAAAAATAAAGATTTTATTATGTTAGAGCATGTGAATACCGATACACTGTTATTTACTCATGATGTGGCAAGTCCATTATTGCGCACAAATCAAGAATTCACCACCATAGATATCGCGACCACAGACAATTATGATAGATTGGATGAAGCCATATTTCAAGTTTTTATTGAGAATGGCGACGAAAATACCTTTTGGAAAACTAAAGCAAGTTATATTAAATTGGTGCATTGGAGAACTAAAGTAGCACTTTGGACTCATGATTCTAGATTACCAGAATGGGCATTTAATCAACAAGAAGTTAATGGAAATAGAATTATTGCCGATGATTCAAACATCTGGGTGGCTGATCAATTAATTGGTAAAAATGGTAACTATTATTTTTATATGTGTGTGTGTGTGTGTGTGTGTGTGTGTGTGTGTTCTGCTATTTAACTATCTAATTATTAATAAATTTCTATGCTTATTATTTTATTAGTAACAGGATTATCAGAAACAAAAGAACCAATAGACAATGTCCCATTTCTAAAAAAATTTATTGAATTACAATCATTAATGATTAAACGCAATTCCAGAACCACAAAACCCCATTCATATCAAAGCTCACCAACCAGTTGGTTATTCTTATCCAAAGGTATATTATTTTGGAAAAATAGAGAGGAAAAACAACAAATTTACTTATTGGGCAACCCAATCAGTTGGGCTTTATCTGTTATTTCCATTTTTTTCCTGATATCATTAATTGGTATTGAAACAATTGTTAGAAAACGTGGATCCAGACTTATTATTAATAATTGTGAGTTTTTTTTTATATATAATTATTTTCACCAAAAAAAAATTTTATTGACATCATTATTATTTAATTTTGAATTAAATAGATGTTTGGCATAGATTAGTTAATTCTGGTGGATTTTTCTTGATAGCTTATTTATGCCATTATATCCCTTTTTTCTTAATGGGTAGAACATTATTCTTGCATCATTATACGCCTGCATTAGTACTTGGCTATATTATCACAGCAATAATGTTTAATTTTATCTTTGTAAATTCTGTAAATTATCCTATTTCACTTGTAAATAATAATCATAATCACAACATCCAATATCACAATAATCAATCTTCTTTGTTTTTCTCTCCTGCATCTTCCTCTTCAGAACAACCATCTTCATTATTATTAATAAATGATGGAAATGATCATAATAGCGAAAATGATGTTAAACAAATTAAAAAATATTTCAAAACAACATCAACAATATTAACAAGATCATCAACAACTACTAAATTTTCGATTATTATTTGGTCAATTATTATAATTTCAATCATTTCAACCTTTGTCTATTTTTCACCTTTTACTTATGGAACACCTGGATTAGATTCTTGGCAAGTTTATAGAAGAAAATGGCTAGTAGGTTGGAATTTTCATTTTCAACCAAAAAGTAGTGAATTAAAAGCAAATCAAGTATAATATTTATTTATTTTGTATTAAATTTTTTCTTATTTATTTGTCTTCCTTTGCTGTATTATTTTTTATTCCTGCATTCTTATTTGTATTATAAAGATATTGATCCTTTGTGTTTCAAGATTTGTTATTATAACTAAATTTGTATCTTTAGAATTTTGTTATTCAAAACTCATTTCTTTACAATGAATATAAATAATGAACATGGAATTAGAAATTGGAACTCCTTTGTCGATCAATTTAGATGCGACGAACGAGTTAACGTGATACTTTGCTGCCTGCCTCTTTTTTTAAAAAAAAAAAAAATAACAATAATCAAAATAAACAGTATTGAGCTTGCCTTTTCATAATCTACTAAAAACCTATTAATTTGTTCAAAGTAAGCCTTTACATAAATTTAAAGAAATTTAAGTGCCGGGAGTTTAAAATTTTAAGTTTTTTTTCCTCTTTGAACTTTAGTGGTACTATAGAAGTTTGCCTAAACTAAATTGTGATGATGCCGAAACTCAGAAAAAAAAAAAGTTATAGAAACTAATAATTCGAAACTCAATTACTTTTCCGAAACTTAATCACTGTGCCGAAACTCAATCACTGTGCTGAAACTATAATTTGTTGCTGAAACTTCAATTTTTGTTGAAACTATTTTATTGTTGAATACAAAAAATTTTATTTATTATTGTAAAACATTTAATATTATTATTATGTA